CGGAGTTAACGGGTTCCCTGTAGCTCTCCACTGGCTGGGATTTGGTAGATGGATAAACATGTTTTATTTCTTTAGAAAGGGGAAAAGTTGTTTACAAATTTCAAACCAGAATGAGAATGTTGTTTTTTTGTCAGGACCATTTCATGAACAATAACAAAATAATGTTTAAAAAGCCTTTGAAGTGTCCCTTTCAAAAGCAAAACTGAAGTGCTGGGAGGAATATTAAATGCCACAAACACAATTAATGTTTGTTAATGAGCTAAGAGAAGAATAAAATGCCACTGAAAGCAGAAATTCATACTGGCACCAAAACCTTTGTGAAGGCTTTGCCACATCTCCACAGGAGAGGGTCATATATTTATTTAAAAACAAATAATGCCACAAAATGTGTCTTTAGGGGAAAATAAGCTGTGGGGCTTCCAGATCTACATTGATGTTATATTAATGGTGGTCAGGGGAAGACCCTTCTGGGTAGGAAACACTCAAGAGTTGTCTCTGAGGCTCTTGCATCTTCCTTAAGCAATATGACATACATGAGCTTAAGTGCTGCTAATTCTGCTTGACAGTGCTTTTCTTAAAGTGCATTTGACTTTTTTAATATTAGACAGTGGCAAGGATATTTTTTTTGGTCAATATTCCTTTTCCTTTTAATTATTATAGCAAGAATAAAAAAACCTGTTTTAGAAACAGGTCTTCTGATGAGTCAGAGCAAGATTTGCTTGTCCTGAAGAGCACCTCCAAGGAGAACACAGGACATATTTCCAATTACTTCATGGTCAAACCATTACAAAATAAAAATATTTCTAAGTGCCAGAGGAGGGAGCCAGCAAAACACAGGAAATCAGAACATTTCTGCCTTTTTAATATCTCTTTTCCTAATGAAATCAGAAGAAATTGAGTGGAGCAGCACCAAACTTTGCTGTCAGTTGAGAAAGAGTTGATGAAGTGGTGTCAGTGTGTGATGGATGAGTTGGGAGCACTCACTTTAAAAATCAAAAGTTTGTGGCTCTGGGAAGACAGAGCTTTCTCCTTTCTGCTCTGCCCACCTGCTCCAGTCTGTTTTTTGCAATACCCTCAGGGGTTATTTCTGGCCTTTTCCCTGCTCGTGCAGCACAGAGCAATCCATGGGGATATCTTGGGAATTTATGCTTGCCCAGGCTTGTCACTGCTCCCCCATGACATGGAGCTGGATTTTGCTGATGGGCTCGTGGATGGGCCAAGGCACACGAAAATTCACGGCCTCACCGAATGGTTTGTGTTGGGAGGTGTCGGAATCTGTGGGTATTGGTGATTCTGAGATTGTAGAAAGTCTCTGTCTGTCAGCCCCGTTGCCAAAGCAGAAGCCATAATTGGTCTGTGCTGTTTCAAGGTTGTTTATTCTGTTTATCTCTAACATGTTCTGCTGCCCTGCCGCAGCTCTGTCCTGCAGGGCAGCGTGTGGGGCTCTGCCCTCAGTGGGATGGTACAAACATTAAATACCACAAACTACCTGTGCTGGATTTACAATAACGTGCCAATATCTGTCACCTACGTTGGACAGTGTGTCCCCAGCCTGAACCAACAGAAAAATGCCAACACCACAGTGAAACATGGAGGGCATGAAGAAGGAGGAAAAGGACAAGGCACACCCAATTTCCTCCATCTTGTCCCCTCTGAACCTCTCATCTAGAAACTTAAAATTTTACTTTTGCACCCGTGTCACACTTAATTATTACTCTTATCAAACACTCAAAGCTTGTAATTCATCCTGTAAGATTGAAAACTCCTCTCCATGGACAGAGATCACAGCCAGTGTCTCTGGGGGCTCTGTCCAGGGGGGTTCCTGACCCCTGCCAGGGTCCCAGACCTGCCAGGGCAGCCAGAGGGAAGCCCTGGATTCCCACAGGGAGGGACCTTAAATCTCATCTCATTCCAACCCCCTGCCATGGTCAGGCACACCTTCCACCAGCCCATGTTGCTCTATCCCATCCATCCTGGCCTTGGACACTTCCATAGGTGGGCAAACACATTCCCCCTGGGAAAAGGAATGATGGCAGGGATAGTCCCAGCACGGCGCTGCAGCAGCCCTTCCAGCAGGACGTTGGGTTCGCAGGGGAGACGTGCTGGAGTGCAGCTCATCACTTCCATGGGGAATGTGGGGACCACGGTGCTGCCTGGAAAAGCTGGGGGAGGCAGGGAAAAGGACATCTGTGAGATGCCGGAGGCGTCTCTCCACCCCGCAGCGCTGCTGCTGGAGGCAGGGAGGGATGGAGAGAGCTGCGCTCTGCCCTGGGCAATGCAGGCGAGCTGGGTGACCCCAAACACCCCTGTGCAGCCCCAAAACTCCTCTCCAGCACTTGGGATGGTTGGGAGCTGCCAGTGCCACTCAGTTTTGGGCCTTGCCTTTTGGTTTGTGTGCGCGCCGTCACTCCACAAATTCCCATTCCCCGTCGCCTTGCAAAATGCCTGCGCCGCATATGAAATGGAGGAGATAAAATTACAGGATCTGAGAATTGGCCGGGCTCTGTGCAATATATAACATACCAGATGGTCCTACAGGATGCCTCTGAAATATCTGTGCAATAGCATTTTAAGAAACTGATATAACTGATCAGGCAGCATATGGAAAAGACTTTCTGTGCTGTGTGAGGGTGCAGTGCCCCCTCTCCCAGCACCTGCTCTGCCTCCCCAAATTAGGGGTGACACGCAACAATGAGCATCTCTCGTCTTTAATGGGAGATATTCCCATCACACATCTGGGACAGGGCCCTGCAGCTGGGAAAGCGCCATTCCAGCATGATTCTGTAAAAAAAAAAAAAGAAAGAAATAAAGTTGTTGTCAATCAAGGGCAGAGTGAGAACACAGTGGTTTGGTGGTTTCTTCACAACAACAACCTTCAGGATGGCCTTTTCCTGGAAGCGTCCCAAGGATGGGGCTGTTTGCATGGAGTTTCTGACCACCCAGCCTCCTTCCCACTGCTCTGCTGTAAATGGGGTTTTGGTCACATATTTCCCACCTCCTGGTGCCTTAAGCAGAGGGCAGTGGGTTTGTCGGAGCAGACAAACCCCCAGAAAGCTCCTTCTGGAAGGGAAGGAGCACCTCCCTCATCCTGGGCAGCAGCACAAGCCCTGGGTCTCCAGCTGGAGTTTTGCCCCTGCTCTCCATCCTTTGAGCCCCCTCAGTCCATCCAATTTTGGATGCACCTCGTGTGCTCATCTTGTCTGTGGTGTCCCTCTCTGCCCTGTGCACATCCAAAGCCTCTCCTGCCTGTTTGCTATTCCCTGCTCCTCTGCCTGGCCTCACACGTGGGCTGACCCCTCTGTCAAACAGAATGGACAATATTTCCTCTCCACAAGGCTTGGCTCATATTCTTTGAGGTACTTCGGGGTCACGGGATGAAAGGCTCCTTGCTGCTGTTGCAATGAGTCCAAGTCGAGCTAAGAATAGATCCATAAACAAGCCAGCAGGGAAGGCTCCCCTGGGGAACCTCTCAGGACTCTCGGAGAATGTCATTGCTGGAGTCATTGTCACGGGAGATGTGGACCCTGCTGAGCCCTTGCTCTGGGGGGTGCCTGCCTCTCCTAGGTGGGGGATGGCTCTGAGCAAACCCTCTCCCAAACTCCTGATTGCTTTTGGTCCCAAGGAGCAGCACTGGGGTTAGACAGCCCAAAGCTGAGGCAGGAGAGGGAATATTGCATCCAGTGGCTGCAGGAGCTGTGCTGGGCAAGGTTGCAGGACACGGCTGGTGGGCTTTTGTTGGGATCTGGAGGGATGGAACCAATTTTCCTCCCAAACCTGTCCCCCTGGGTGCCCTGGGAGAAGGGTGAGGGCTGGGATGAGCTGCAGGGATGGGTTTTTCACTGGCACGTGAAATGCTCTGGCAGGAGGCTCCACGCTTGGTTGCTACCCACGCTCGTGCAGAGAGGTATTTCGAGTTGTCAGTCTGGCGTGCTGTCTGTCTGTCCACCCACCCAGGCATCTATAAAAATCCAGGCTGGATGAAATGTCTGTCAGAGCCCTGCTGCTGGGGCCAGGGCTCCTGATGCTGATCTTTGTCCTGGAACCCAAAATCCAGGTGGGGAGGGTCAGGACTGGAGTCTGAAATGTGCAGCTTGATCAGATTGATCCCTGTTTCTGGAGTAATCTACACAAAAGCTGAGAGTGGGAATCTTGCAGAAAGTAGGCTTCCCTCCTTTGTCTTCCCTGACTCTGTCCTCTCTGTTATCTTGACGGTTTCTGCTTGGCTGCCGTGTTGCTCTTTAATCTGGAGCCCTCTGTTCTTACCTGAGCTACAGAGGCTTGACGAGGAAAGCCACTGAACTTGGAGAAAAATGAAAAGGAGCAAAGCTTAAAAAAATGTTTTCTTTTGCTCTCATTCTTAAGGAAAAAAAAAAAAAGAAGAAAAAAAAATAAAACAGAAGAAGAGAAAACCCAACCCCCAGAAGTGCACAGACAGTGAGAGATGCCTGGATTCATCCTTGAACCGTCTCCTGCTTATGGATCAGGGCTGCATCATTTCTGCTCTGTTTTCTTTCTTTTCTCCCGCTCTTTCCCTGACATTAAATCATTTTGATCAAAGCCAAGCAAACAAAAAACTCTTTGCTTTCAACCCATTGATGGGAGAAGGGAGTCCTGCCCCGGTCCTGAGGAGAGGGTGGGATGGGGAGCCTGGAGCAGTGAGGCGTGAGGGGATGGGGGTGGCACAGGAGGAACTTGATGCCTGCGTGGAGATAATGTTTTGTGCATGACAACAATGGATAATTACTGTGATCAAAGATCTGTGTGAGGGGATCTTGTGTTTCACCACTCCTGGCGCTGGCCCATCCTCCTGACGCTGAGGAGGGGAGCAAACTCCCTCGCTGTCTTTTCCCACCTCCCTTCTTCCCATCAGGATTCCTCCCGGGAGATGGGGAGCTCCGGAGGGTGGTGGTGTTTTGGGGGGTGGCTGGGAGCACCTGGAGGTGCACAGGGGACAGGCTCTTCTCAGGAGTGCCCAGAGAGGGCAACAAGCACAATCAAAGTGCAAGAAATTCTCTTTAGATGTGAGAAAAGCTGTTTCAGGGAAGTGGTGCTCCAGCACTGGAATGGGTTGTCCAGGGACACTGTGGGGTGCTGACCTCCTGGTGCTGCCACGTTTTCCAGGGCTCACAGCACATCTTTGGAGGTGCCTCATCATGCGGCAGGTAATGATTCTTGACGGGAATTAGGACCCTGTCCATCTGGCCCTGTTCTGCCATCTAACAAGAGGAGATAAGTGCACTTAACAACACACCAGCTCTTGTTCAGGCCCCTTCTTCCCAAGCCAGAATCAATAGCAGGTCTCTACAGCTTTTAGAGACTTAGATCCCATCTTTTCATCTCTCATTTTCCCAGGCAGCATGCGTGTGATTTATCTTTTTTTTTTCATTCTGTGGAAATTTCCCCATTCCACCTGTCATCTGCACCCGCGTGGCGCCGGCCCAGCCGGGGCTGCAGCTTGCACACCAGATAAGAAACCACACCATACCTGGGCTCCCTGAGCCCCATCTCCCCCTCTCTGCAAGCCAGGAGCTCTCCCACAGTCTAATTTATCTTCAAAGTGCTTTACAAATACTAATTAATCCCCCCAGCAGCCTGCTGGGGCAGGGGATGCATCGCTGTTTGCTCGCAGCCACTGATGCCAGCACCCTCATTTCTCAGGTTTCTTCCCTGCTTCCTGTGCTTCCCTGCTTTGGAGGAGTGGGACACTGTCCCCATGGAATGGTGGCAGGACAGTTGGTGTCTGTGTCACAATGGTTGGGGACCTGCGTGGACGGAGCCTGACTGGTGGCACTGCAAGCCAGGACCTTCCAGAGGTGAGCAGTGCCGCTTGCTCCATCTCCTCCGAGCCCCAGCCTGCTTCTCCCTCACCTTTTCCTGCTCATTTAGTTGCCTTAGGTCCAGTTTAATTGTTTTGTTTGCCCTCCCCCCGGAGCAGGGTGGATGCTGCTGGCAGGGTTTGCCCTTGGTGAGGGCTGCAGGGATGAAGAGACACTTGGGGAGGATGGTGGGGTGGGTCCTCCTGCTCTCCCTGCAGAGCTTGGGATGGTTGGTGCTCAATTCGTAGAATCTCGGGATGGTTTGTGTTGGTATCATCTCATTCCAACCCCCTGCTATGGGCAGGGACAATTCCCACCAGACCAGGTTGCTCCAAGCCCCATCCAGGTTGTTTACTCCTGCAGGAGCTCTGAGTTCAGAGAGTCTTTAAAAAAAAAAAAAAAAAAAGAGAAAAAGAAAAAAGCTAGGGTTTTTTTTTTTCTTCTCTCTCCTTGCACGAAATGCAAATCAATAGCTGTTGTATTCACATTCTAACAAGATGTCAAGGAGAAAAGGGTAGCCTTTCATTCAGCAGAGCACACACACACCCCGAGGGAGGGGACAGAAGGAGGGAGAGGGGCGGGAGGAGGTTGTGGGGGCTGCCTGGGGCGGGCGCTGCGAGAGGGCACGGGGGTGAAAGCCACAGGCACGGCCGGCTTGGGAGGCTTTCTGTTTCCCTGGAGCACTCTGCTCTCCTTCCTGCCCATCCCAGAGCTCCTGCTTCCCATCCTGTCCCCTCCTCAGCATCGCTTTCATCCCAACCCTTCTGCACCCCATCCCTCCCATCCCAACCCTCCTGCTCCCCTTCCAGCCCATCTAAACCCTTCTGCTCCCCTTCCAGCCCATCCAAATGCTTCTGCACACCCTCCTGCCCATCCCAACCCTCCTGCACCCCTTCCTGCCCATCTAAACCCTTCTGCACCCCATCCTGCCCATCCAAACCCTCCTGCTCCCTTTCCTGCCCATCCCAGCTCTTCTGCTCCCCTTCCAGCCCATCCAAACCCTTCTGCACCTCATCCTGCCCATCCCAACCCTCCTGATCCCCTTCCAACCCATCCAAACCCTCCTGCTCCCTTTCCTGCCCATCCCAGCACTCCCACTTTGCTCCCCTACACCTCCCAGTGTGAGCAGACACCCCTCAAGGCACCGCCTGGGCTCCTTGCAAAGTCACAGCCCTGCAGAGAGGTGCCGTGCAGCTCCCTGGCACTGTCCTGGGTGGGATGGGCCATGGGGGTGTGGGGTGCTGGGGTTGGGAAGGAGAGTGGAGGTGGCCTGGGAAAGGATGGTCCTCAGCACCTGGAGGAGCAGGACAGCGCTCTGTGGCATGGGGTGATCTGTGACTCATGGTGATCTGTGCCATGAGGTGATCTGTGCCATGAGGTGATCTCTGGCACAAGCTGACCTGTGGCATGGGGTGATCTGTGGCCCGAGGTGATGCAGGACTCTGTAGGGATCGCCTCTGGCAGATGGGATCAGCCCAGCAGAGGCTGCTCTGGTGATGCAGCACCAAGATGGGAGCAGGGATGCTCCTCACCCTGCTCTCCTGTGCTGCTCTGCCCCCTCTCCCCAGCTGTGCAAGCAGAGGGTGAGGAAACCTCCGCTGCACTGAAAATGTGTTATTTCCCCCAGAGACTACTCTGGTCCCAGATGTGAATATGCATTGAGACAGCTGGGGAAAAAAAACCTCTGGAAATACACACAAAAATCATGTCTAAATGTGCCCAGCAGACCAGAATGTCTCCTCTCCAACTGGGGGCTGCCTGTCAAATTTAAATATGCATTTTAGATTCTCTGCTTGATATCGGAAAGCAAACAACCCCAAATATCCCAGAAAAGCTCCACCAGCTAAATACATATTTATACACCTTTTTTTTTTATTATGTGTCTTGGAAATCAAACAAATGAAACAGGCCAGTGCCTGCTCGGTCCTGCAGAGCTGCTGAGCAGAGATGGATTTGCTGGGCTGATCAAAGCACATTTGTTCCCATTTTGCAGATGGGAAGGTAAAGGCAGCAAGGTACCAAAGGTCTGCTCTGAGGTCACCCTCAGAGCTGTATTTGGCAATTCGGGTGCCAGACTAATTGGCCAAAATGTATGCAAAGAGAGCAGCTCAGTGTGTGCTGGATTTGGGCAATAATCTGCCAGGTGGGAAAAAAAAACAACCCAAAAAACAAATGGGAAAAGTGTGGTGGGAGAAAAAAAAAAAGTAAGAATGTGTTGTTTTGAAACTTACCCAAATATAGCTTTTCAACTCGGGGTTTGAAAGCAGAGCAACATGTTTGTTCTGAGTCCATCAAACATTTCTGTTAATTAGAAATGATTTCTTTGTTCATTTCCTTTAGTTCCTCCAAGATAACTTTATTTCTTTTTGCCTTGAGTGGATTCAGAGCTTGCTGTGTGCATTTGGAGAATGAGCTGCAGCCACAGGGTTCAGCTGAGCCCCAGAGCAGCTCAGTTTCCCCTGGGGACAGATGTCCCTGTCCTGGGCTGGCCAGCAAGGATGCAGCCACATGCCTGGCAGCCCTGGGAAATCCCAAATGTCTCTTTGCAGCTGTTTTCCCAAAATACTCGTGAAGTAAAGGATAAATTTGCTTGGTGTCATCTGTTGGGGTGTCATTTAGAGGGAAATTCAGGACAGAAATATCCCTGTCCTCATCCCAGGCTGAGGGAGGCACTCTGCTCACTGGTCTTTGCTCCATGGGATGATTTAGCTCTTTCAGAGGTCAAACAACATAACTTTACTCTTATTAAAGGAATTAAATCCTTAGTCATGTTTTCTTTGGTGCTTTCCTGAGGATGCAGGAGATGGGATGCCTTCAGCAGATAATGCGGGAATATGGTTGAGTTAAAAGCTTTTAAAAACTTGTGGTTTATTCATGCAGAGTATAAAATGAAGAAGGATTAATGGTTAAAAGGCAGAGGAGTTTGTCCTGGCAGTGTGTGCTTGGCTCTGGTCCCCTCTCAGGGTGAGGACAGCCCTTCCAGAGCACAAGGGGTGCTCCACACCCATTGCTCCTGTTCCTCCAGTGCTGCTGAGCATGGAAATAATGCCAGAAAAGAGGGATGTGCATGGACAGGGATGTGCTGGTACCGAGCTGTAACAGGTGGGTGAGAGAAACAGGGAGAAAAGACCAGAGAGGAGGGAATGGTCAGGGCTTTGTGGATTTGGGTGCCAGGAGAGCTCTGGCCCCAGCTCTGTGGCAGGTTGTGGGGTTTGGTGTTTGTGGGTCCATCATTCTTCCAGGATTGCTGCACCCCAGTGCAGAGGGGCTCTCAGGCAGGTGCTCCCTGAGATGATGGGTTAATGCAAAAAGAGAAAATAATCCAGGAAAATGGGGCTCCAGGGATGGTGAGGACAAGCCCAGGTAGATGAGAACAGAAACTAAGGCAAGGAGCAAGTGAAACCCTGGGGTGTGGGATGTGGAGGGGTGTGTGGCCACTGGTACCAGAAAGCTGTGGTGAGTTAGCTGGAAATCCAAAGTATTGGGCTGAAAGTTCTCTTGGGCTGGCCTGGAACTCAAAAAGAGACATTTTACCCTGAGTTAGTGGGGAAAGAGCTTGTTTTGAGAAAAACTGAATGTCTAAATTTGTCCTGAAGCATTAAAAAACCCCCAGTCTTAGTTTGTTTTTAACAAAGCTGCAGAGAAATAAGAGACATATTTTTGTTTAGAAAATGTAAAAATAAGTACTATTTGTTTTGGAAACTAACCTTTGCAACATTTTTTTTTTTTTTTTTGACAATGCAGCCCTGAGTGCTCGGTGCCTTGGTCTGGGGGTGGCTGTGGGAGGGGGACACGGCAGGGGCAGCTGCCCAAGCCCTGCGCTGGGGATGCTCAGGGCTCAGCAGAGGTGTGGGAACGTGCCAGGGAGCGGGTCTGGGGGTAAGGAGGAAAATTGTGGCATCCTGGAAGGAAGGAAGAGCCTGAGGAAAACTCCTTGGTATGGGATGCTATCGGGTAGGGGGTCTGCAGGAGCAGGTACCCTCAACTCAGTGTCTTTTTGGGGCTCTGTGGGCTGCTGAAGGGAAAAAAACGTGTCTCCAGTTGGGATGCACGGGGAAGATTGCTGCCTGGTTTCAGAGATTTTGTGTGAAAAACACCCACTCATGCTAAAAAGCTTGGATTGCTCCCTGGTTTTCCTTAGCAGTAGGAAGAGTTGCTGTTGCCTTCCCGGCGAGGGAAGCAGAGGGCAGGGTGAGCCAAGGGGCTGAAGCCCGGAGCTGCCCCAGCGCTGGATCCAGGCTGGGGAGGAAAAAATTCCCCTTTGCAGGAGGCTGGTGCACGAGAAGCTGGTGCGACCTGCTCGTGTCCGTGCAGGGCTGCTCCTGCATCCCGAGAGCTTCTCTCTCCATCCTAGAGCTGCTCCTTGCATCCCAGAGCTTCTCCCTGCATCCCGCGGCTGCTCCCTCCATCCCAGAGCTGCTCCTTGCATCCCAGAGCAGGGGATCCTTCCATTCCGGGGCTGCTCCCTCCATCCTGGGGTGCTCTCTCTATCCCAGAGCTGCTCCCTCCATCCCAGAGCTGCTCCCTCCATCCTGGGGCTGTTCCTGCATCCCAGAGATGCTCCCTCCATCCCGAGAGCTGCTCCCTCCGTCCTGGGGCTGTTCCTGCATCCCAGAGATGCTCCCTCCATCCTGGGGCTGTTCCTGCATCCCAGAGATGCTCCCTCCATCCCGAGAGATGCTTCCTCCATCCTGGGGCTGTTCCTGCATCCCAGAGATGCTCCCTCCATCCCGAGAGATGCTCCCTCCATCCTGGGGCTGCTCCCTCCATCCTGGGGCTGCTCCCTGCATCCCGAGAGCTGCTCCGTTCATCCCAGAGCTACTCCCTGCATCCCAGAGCTGTTTCTTCCATCCCAGAACTGCTTCTGCATCCCAGAGCTGCTCCCTGCATCCCGGGACTGCTCCCTCCATCCCGGGACTGCTCCCTCCATCCTGGGGCTGCTCCCTGCAACCCGGGGCTGCTCCTGCATTCCGAGAGCTGCTCCCTCCATCCCGGTACTGCTCCCTCCATCCCGGTACTGCTCCCTCCACCCCGGGGCTGCCCCCTCCATCCCAGAGCTGCTCCTCCATCCCAGTGCTGCTCCCTCCATCCCGGGGCTGCTCCCTCCATCCCAGAGCTTCTCCCTGCATCCCAGAGCTGCTCCCTCCACCCCGGGACTGCTCCCTCCATCTCGGGGCTGCTCCCTCCATCCCGGGGCTGCTCCCTCCATCCCGCGCACCGGCTGGTGGCGGGAGGGATGCTCGGGGGGTCGATGCCCGCGTTTAGCTGCCCGGTTGCGGAGTGAAGCCCGCAGCAGAGCGAGTGTG